GCCGGTGAGCTCCCATAGTGACAATACGAATGAGCGCTAATCAGTCACAGCAACTATCTTGCGAAAGACTGCCAAGCTCGTGAGCCCTAACACTGACACGAAAAAGGGGTGCTAGACAGTCACAGCAACTAAAAGCCTTCTGAGCTCATGAGCCATTATAAATATACCAAGGAAGAGTGCTAATCAGTCACAGTAACTATCTTGCAAAAGCCTGCCAAGTTTGTGAGCCATCATAATGACACAAAGGGCAAGCGCTAATCAGTCACGACAACTGTCTGCCAAGCTCGTGAGCCTTCACACTGACACCGAAGAGTGCTAATCAGTCACAGCAACTATCTTGAAAAACAATACTTATTGTTGGCCTAGTTGATACTTGCTTAATGACATGCTTTGCTTGCAAATAACACAAACACAAAGTAAAAGAAAACACAACAATACACACCGCTTGTGCTTGTCATTGTGTGTTCCTTTACTTTGTGTTTGTGTTATTTGCGGGCAAAGCATGTCATTGTTTTGCAAAAGCTTCCCGATCTCGCCAGCCCTCCAACTGACACCAACTGTCACAGCAAGTATCTGGCAGGTGATGTGAAGCATCGTGGGAGTTTCCAACACAACGTTAACGTGATTCGTGGTAACGAACCAGTAACATAATAACACGCAAGGTTCACTGTAAAGATAACACTGCAATCTGGTAAACACCACCGTTGAAAACACCGTTGAAGCTCCCCGTGATGCTTCACATCACCCCTTGGTCCCTTTGGCGAGATGGTGTAATTTTTTTGCAAAAGCCTGCCAAGCTCACGAGTCCCCATACTGACACCAAGGGGGAGTGCTAATCAGTCACAGCAACTATCTTGCAAAAGCCTACAAAGCTCGTGAGCCTTCACACTGACACCAAATTGGTTAAATTACAAGTCGTTTGTAATGCCCTTTGAAATCGATTGGAGCACAGCCGTTGAACTGAATTGTAATGCACTGAGGCACACATAGCATGAAGCGAAACAGAAAGATAAGCTAGGTGGTACTGGTTCATTCTTATTCGATAGAAGCATTAGGGCAAGGACAAGAAAGTGCACAACACTGCATCATATGCATCAGTCATGTATCTTCTCCCAAAGAAGTAAAACTACTTGAGCAGAAAAGTTTGCTGGTAGGGGGGGGGGGAGGGAGGAGAGTGCATATTCATCTTCCTTCGTTTCTTGCTTGTTGACGGTGTGCACGCGCTTTGTTGTCGAGCATATATATATTTTTTCAAGTAATATAGCTATCAGTTCGGAGTAAGCGCTCATGTAGTGCAATTTCTTGTCCTTGCACACAAAAAAGAAAAATAACATGAACAAAGCATGTAACGGCAGGGTGTTGTTCTCCATCCTGTTGTCACTCGCTCTGTCCTAGTTTTATTTTTGTGTGCTACAAGTTTCACTGTGCATCAACATCAACAAGCCAATCATTCTTACGTTGTTTCTGGTCTTCTTTGTGCTATTGTTATATAATAATGTATGCGTGGCATGTTGGGCTGCAACTTCTTGCCCAGAATAACATTCTGATCATTGTTCAACCTTTGAACTCTGTGAGTCTTACTCCAAGTAACTTCTGGTTTTCTATTCTGTGGAAAAAAAAGAGCGGGGGGGGGGGGGGGGCGCCAAAGAGACACAAATTACAGCCATGATGGTGATGAAAGCATCACATCATGGCTGTATTTCTTTCTTCATAGCCATGATGTGATGAAAGCCCCAAACAAAGCCCAAAATAAACTGTCTGGATGGCAGAAACATGGATGAAACGTGTCTGTGTACAGGGACTCTATTCTGTATGTGATTCGGTAAGCTATGCCATTAATCATAACATCAGCACACTGAACTACCTTTCTGGAAGGTGCTTGACTAAAACAACAGAGGTACAAAGAACAGACCGACAAGTCATTTGACTACTATGTTCCATGAACTTCATAAAGAAATGTGCTAATTGGTTGAGAGCTTCTATAGTAATCAGCTGACCTTCTACCCCTTTTGAGCTGTTCTCCTTCCAAGTACAGCTAAACCTGCTTATAACAAACCTCCATATAACGAATTCCTCGATATAACAAAGTTTTTTTATTCCTCATCGTCGCTTCATAGAAGCACATGTATTTGCGACCACTATGTAACAATGTAACAGTGGGAGACAACCTTAATATAACGAATTTTCCCCATGGACAATCGAAGAATTTGGCTCCGAATTTTGAAATTTTAGTACGAGCATGCATCTTCCGCGGCTGCACTGTTGCCGACAAAGCGCCGGCTGCGGGCACACGGGCAATGTCCGGCGGGCAGGCGGGCCTGCACCCCATGAGCTGGCTTTGCCATCGTTCTCGCCGCCGCGCTCACATGCGCGAGTGTCCCCCCCCCCCCCCCCCACTCCAAACCAACATAAACAAAAAAAAAAGAACTACTTTTGCGCATTGGCAGTGCCACGCTTTTAGTTAGCCTCACATATATGGAGCCGTGCTAAATATGGAGAGCACTTTACAGATTAGTTTTCCACGGTACTCGTGTCCATGTCGTTCACTCTTCATTTTCGACACCATGCATGCGCATGGTGTGACCCCAGACGACATTCAGCTTTGCTTTTTTTTTATTGCGATAGCGATTATGTATACATACAGTCTCGACTGGTTTTTCGCCTCCGCTGCCATCATTCATGTTTCTATTTACATAGAAACTCAAGAAAAAAAAATAGCCGCCTGTGCTAGGTGTCCAGCTTGTCACGATATGCCGACGAGCGTTTATCTCCCACGTGTACTTTGCCCAGCAAATGGGGTGGGGGTGGGGGGTGGGGGGGTAGATGCTTGTGCACGCGCGCTTATTTTTCGGTGAAGAGAATTACGTGCCTTCGACTTTGACTGGGGGGAACGATTGAGTTTAGTTGCCGGGTGCATGAAAATCACTTCGCTCGCTGGACAGGAGCTGTTTGTGAAAAGAGTGCACTTTTCAAACACACCGAAGTTACAACTGTAGCACTTGTTAGTTCGCACTCATAATACTTGTTAGTTCACACTGTTAGTTCAAACTTGTCAGTTCGCACCTGTGATCACGTTTCATGCCTCGTTTTTGTTTAAACAGCGCGTTAAGTGTCGAGCGGTAAGCATTAGTTTCATCTCGCCCCGTGTATATTGTTTTCTTGCGTCATTTGTGCGTTGAGCAGCACACCGCACATTTCGACCTGCTTGCCGTTGCCAGCGCACATTCCTAGAATTGTTGTTATCGCATACATTGCTTCGCCCTTGCGGTGAAACTCGGTGAGACTTTTTGCGGTGAGATTTTAAAAAAATTTCGGGCAACCGTGGCTTCACCACCGAGGGGATGTCATATTAGGCGCTGATGGAAAGTCTCCGAGACAACAGTGATGATGGATCTTTGGAGGTCGACTTGTCACGCCCTTTCGTTTTGCACCGCGCCGCAAGTTCGCAGGCTGGTAGCTTTCCCGATTAGTCGATTGGTTCTGGCAACACGACGGCGTGTTGAACACAATGCAATGAACGTGATAGCGAAAAATTGTAATGTTATAAGAAGCAAGGCTTGCAGAAACCTCTTTTGGATTCGATATCGCGGAACCCCAACAAAAGGCTGGTGTGAGCAAATATGGCCGCTCCAGGGGGAAGTGCTATGTTCACACAGTCCCTTTGCGTTGAAACAGCACTGATACTCGGTGAGATAGCAAGCGCGCCAGCCGCCTTTGAAATCATCCATTATTACTGCTCGAGCGATTCTCTCCCCCCCCCCCCCCCTCACGTCCCGTGTTGTTTCATGCTTGTTCAAGACAGGTGGTGGGTTACTTTCTGTATGAACATTCGACGGCAGTTGTAACACGCTGGAGATGTTATGCCCTTTTCAGGCGATAGAAATGGGCTGACTCATTTGATCTCTGCTTCAGCAGTGCTCGCGCGCTTTTACCCTCTCCTGAACGTTAAGATGCGCGGGGGCGTGCTATCAATTTGCACTTGTTACAGAACATGACGGCGATGGCAATAACTCGCCGAGAGTGTCCATATTGCTACATGCATGTATATAGCATGCATGTATACTACATCTGTAGCATACATGCATTCTTATTCACTATACATGCTACAATATAATTGCTACCGTAATATTAATGCAGTTTTTTACTGTAAAATAAGTGTTTTGGGTTAGCTCTGCCTTCAGTCCTTTTGTTTAATTTGCGCTTTTATTTTTGGAATGTTCGTACTGAACTTACATATAACGAAATCCTCTTTATAACGAATTTTTCCAAGAATTTATCAATTTCGTTATATCCAGGTTTAACTGTCTATACAACTCAACCAAAATTATGCATATCCAGAAAGAATTAACTGGACCACGAGTCTGAACAGTGTGCACATGATGAAAGCACGGAAGCAGCAGTAATGTTACTTGCGTTATAGAAACAAAGACAAAATACACTGAACATCTTGTAAAATTTTCATTATGAAGACCGCAAACACCCCTTTTGTGAGCCAGCACAATGAGTTCTATGGACTGCCAGATTTCAAGTGCCCATAAAAAGGTTCCGAAATATAGGTCATACTGAGAAGAATGAATGAAGAAGGTTTACGGATGCAACCCATGCAGACGAAAAAAGAAAGAGACAGCATGGAGCGTCATCCTGTCCCCTTCATTTCGTCTACCCTAACCTTTGTTCAGCATGAACCAACATGTTCCAGTAAACAACAAATGACACTGGTGTATGTTGTGAAAGGTGCCGGTTGTTTTTACAGAGCATAACAAGGAAGCAAACAAGCCAGCGGGCCTACAACCGTAACATTGTTTCCATTTCCACAATCAGCCCTTGCATTCTTCTGGATGTGGCTGTGCATGTGTGCTGCTTTGCAGTCGGTAACACGAGCAAGTATGTAATGCGACCTGAGGTGACATGCATCATTACACAGGGGTAATGAGCAAGTTCCAAATTTTTATATTTTCCCACTTTTCCACTAGATTGTGTCCAACATGAAAACACTGCACCTCCATTGGGCGGTGCATCGACACCTCCTGCCATGACTGGTGGCGTGCCCTGGAAGTGTGGGGGGAACATCATGTTTGTTGGAGGTTGGGGTGGATTCAGGAGGCCCCCGACAGGTGCGAAGCCTGGTGGCTGGCCCATCATGGGGATGCCCTGCTGCTGCTGTTGCTGCTGAAGATTCATACCACTCTGAGCCGTCATGCCCGGCATTGTTGCTGGCGGCTGGGAATCGTCTGCACCTGTATAAAGAGACCAAGTGGTGCTAATAAAAAAGGAAGTTATCATGCAACGAGAATAAGCTTCTGTATATTACTAAAGATGCACAAATATTATAACTTTCAGACATTCTTCAAATAGTGCTTGCTATTCGATTCGATTCGCACCAGAATTCTACTGCCTAAAGTATTTGAACTTCAGTAAATAACAATAAGGAGGAAAAATCAGTGTGCAGCATGCCTATAGTCTTGCGATTTGGGGCACCGACGTATGAAACCCCGAGCAGCTTCCAACGATGCTACAAGAAGTCGCTGCGCGACAAGCTTGGCCAAACGGATAAACTACAGAGTTCTAAAATTCCCTTCTATAGTTCTAAAGAGCCACTGGTCCATGCAATTTGTAAAACAGATTCTTGGACTAATTGGTGATTGGGAGTAAACATAATTGTACAGTACAAGACTATGAGTAGTTAAGGAAGAAGAGACAAGGACAGAAAGGAGCGCTGACTTCCACTGAAACTTTATTAGCGATAACGATGGAAATATATAGTTGTGACAGAAAGCAGCACATCACAGCACTGCGCAGCTTATTGTATTACAGCGAGACAATCAATATCTCATTAGGTGGGTACAATACCACACCTCAGCTCAAACTCATAATCTATTGCGTCAAAACCAGATACTCGATTTCTTTCTAGTGAGTGCAACCGAAGTCATGTTGATACATAGATCACTCACAATTTAGGTCGAAGCCAGATACTCGATTTCTTTTTAGAGAGCGCAACCAAAGACATGCTGATACATAGATCACCCAGAATTTGTATTTGATTGGCCACAATAATCTCTCATGTTAGCTGCTGACAGTGTTTTGCGACAACGATGCACTTTTGCAATTTCGGTCTGCAACCACAATCTCCACAATGAATACCCAGATGGCCTTGAACAGCTGAGTATACATAGAAATGATGCTCCTTTAAACGCTCATTCAGGCACCTTCCCGTTTGTGCGACATACATCTTGCCGCATGACAATGGAATCAAGTACACGACAGCAATCACACATGCTAAGAATAGCCTCCTGTGTTTGATTGTGCAGCAGCTCCTTCGTGCCGACTGCGCATTAACACGTTCGTACAGCTCTGAAAGCTTTTCTGGGGCAGAGAAAACAACCTTTGCATCAACCTTATCACTTATCTTTTTCAAACTGCGAGAAATCTTACGTAGATAGGGAATCACAGCCACGCACTTTGAGCTACTAGCCACAAAGTTCACTCGTGCTTCACGTCCCTGTTTATTGGTCCTAAGCAAATTTTCCGCCGCCGAAAGCAGCAAATGATCAGGGAAACCAGCGCTTATAAGACAGGAAGCCTGCTGAATGAAGCTGCTGATTAACGAATGGCTGCAAGACTTGCGAAGAGCATTTCTGAAATAATAATTAGCAATTGCTCTCTTGACGAGCTTTGAATGAGCCGACAAGTACGGTAGAAGTGGTTTGCTTCCTCTAGGCTCGTATTTCAGGCAAAGGTGTTCACTTGAGATGTTTAATCTCAAATCTAAAAACCTTAACGAAGCACCCTGCAACAGTTCATGCGTCAGTATTAGAGGTGCTACAGACTCATCAAAAAGACATAATGTGCCATAACTACCCGTAATTTTGTGCTGTGTAATTATGATGTGCTTTGTTGCATGTGATGAACCTCATTGCAGTTTAATTGCTTTGGCATTGAAATGTGGTTGCACTGAGCAAAAAGCACAAATGAGTAAAAAAAATACAACTAGACACGAAGTGTGCGCAATGTTCCTAAAAATGAGAAATAAGCGTACATCTCTGATGGTATTGCATGCATCAGAAGTGTAAAGAAAAGAGAATAAAGAATGTACTTTATATACTACTTAAGGAAAAAGATATCAAGCTGCTGATTTGCGACAATACAGGGTCATCTGTGACACTACCGAAACGCCTTTAAAAGAAGCTTGCAACGCAGACCACAGAATTATCCTAGATGGAAAGAATAAAGTTGTACAGATGTGTCAGAAAGCCGGGTTGAAAAAACTGGCTAAGGAAGTAAAAAGTACCACCCAGCTGACACGCAACCCTTTCTTCTCGGACAAAGAAGGCAACCTTTTAGGGTAATCTTGAAAGTTAAAAAATTGGAAAAAAGCACTGTCATTGAAACGCCTTTCCGTCAATGTGAAAGATCTCAATGTGATAGATCTTGATGTATGAATTTGATATAAAGTAACAATGAATATATATTAGATTTGTCCTAGAGTCATAGGACTCTGCAACACTTCTTCAAGTAGCCATAGAATGAATTCAATAAAGGAGCTTATTGCCTCACAAGTTCACTACCAGGACAATTTTTATAATCCGTCCAGTATGAGCAGAATCACAAAGGTTTGTCACAAGTTGCAAGTATTCTTTCTTTTTTCGTCCTGACAAAAGCTCTGAAAGCCAAGCAGGAAGGGATGGCATGGGGAAAAAAAAATAAGTCACGCACACCTCTAGACCTTAAGCCATTCCTTTCTTTCTTTTTTTTTTTTATTTGAATACATACTTTTTGGTGCGATCTCATGTGTGGACAAGTCACAGGCTTTTGTGGAAGCCCCTGCAACAACCGAGTGGGCCATGCCCAATGTAGTATCGTGCGGCAGATGCACCACACGAAGAACACAGAGCATGGCGCGGAAGCGCCAGCCGACAAGACGTACGCAGTAGCTGGTAGCCAAGCAGGAACTCCTCTTTTATATACACGAGCATCACTATAGGGTGGATGGATGTATCACGGCTGTGCTCTTCAAATCGCCTGGTGGCTCACGCCACCTAGCCATAAAGTTAAGTACTATTACTGTGTTTCAGGATTAAATTTTACTTGGGCCTCGGTCGTAGCTACCAATCAGTTAGCCTCCTCCTGGTTATTTCTATCCGTTTAAAGTCTATTTTGCCTTCACTGTCCTTACACCCCAATTCTTTGAAAAATTCGGCACCATTATCTTTGACCATAGGGTGAAGCCCTTAGCAGAACATTATCAAATGTCCAGCCGTTTCGTCCTACGAAGGCACGCACTACATACACCGTGCCTGTGCCTTCGTATTTTTCTCGGTACGCCTTGGTCCCGTTTTAGCCTCGAAGTGTAGAGAACTACCCCAAGAATTATCGTAGATCTTTTCCCTTGCAATTTCCTGCTTAGAAGTTCGGTAGGTCTCCAGTGATGATTTCATAAGCATTCTCATCTTCCACATGTCCCTCTCTATTTCCTTCACCTTCTTAACCAATGTTTCCTTTTGGCTTGGTAGTCTGCTATTGTCTAAATACTTGCTTGACAGTTTTCGAGTTCGCTTCCTCCATTTAGTATCAAGATTCTTCATGTACAAGTAACTGAAAACTTTCCAAGGCAAATGCTCCTCTCCCATTTTTCTCAATCGCTCCTCAAATTCTATCATGCTGCTAGCTTCCCTGCACTCAAACGATGTCCATCCCATGTCTCCCCGTACCCCCTGATTTGGGGTATTCTCGTGTGCTCCCAAAGTAAGTCTACCTATGCCACGTTATTTGATTTCCAATCTTGCTTGAACTTCTGATTTCATGCACAAGACCGCATTGCCGAACGTCAAACCTGGGACCATGACACCTTTTCAAATCCTTCTCACAACAACGTAACTATCGTAGTTCCACAGTGCCCTATTTTTCATTACAGCTGCATTCCTGGTGCCATTAGTCATTGCGTATCTTTCGAGCTCCCTTAGATACTCAACCCTGTTATTTATCCATATGCCCAAATATCTATATTTATACACTATTTTTAGCGTGACATACTGTAATTTATGCTCACTACTTCTGTTATCATTAAAAATAATTATTGCCGATTTTTCCCTGCTTAAGTTCAAATTTAACCTATCTCTCTCATTACCACAGATGTCTATCAATCCCAGCAGGTCTTCCTTAACTAGTTAAAAGATATTTTTGGTCTTCTAAGTACACATAAACGATAACATTTGGCCACTTTCCATATCAATAAACACCGCCAGGTTGAGGTCTGCCGCTGCATAAAAATTGTTTTGATAGAACACGTAGGCTGAACTAATAAAACTTGAATAACTGAAATCAGTGTTAATTCTATATAAATCTAGTGAATTGAGATAGGGCAATGTGTTTGGAACAGACTTTTAGAATGCATGCACGCACTCATACTCGCAAAAAAGTTATTTGGTTGGATAATTGGTATCTAAGATATTATTCCAGAAGTATACTGGAATTTTTATGGGACGTGGTGCTGACGACGACGCTAGACGAAACTGACGACGATACTAGAGAGGAGGAATGCAAAAAAAAAAAAAAGAGGAGTTGTCGCTCGACGTTTCTGTGGAAGGGGGAGGGGTAGTTAAGTTAACCCATATGACAGACTGGCTCTACATTGGAAGACGCAGGGAACATTGTAGTTAAAACAAGACAGAAAGGAGAAGAGACCCTTTTGAAAAACTAGCCATATTTTTTGTGTTAATGATGGTAGCGATTGCTATCCTGCTGCTACATTTTTTTTTTCTCTTTTCAGTCGTGCTGCCGTAACTGTGACTGCAGACTTTTTTTTTTTTTTTTTTTGCGAAAGACGGGAGTGCGAACAGTGCTGAGACGTACTTTCGACTTGAACTATACAATTACGCTGGCTTGTGAGCAGAAGAAGGAAAATGAAAATTTCTTCAAGGAGGAGGCACTGGCACGCCGTGACGCTTCCACGTGCATCACCTTCTGTGGCCTCAGGACGTTTGCACGGACCTTTAGGTTGAGTAAACTGGTCAGCTTTCCCTCATTTCTGTGAAAATGCAGCTGACTTAGATGGCGAAATGTTTGTGCTCTTCATTGCCTATTTATTTTGTTACATTGTTGTGAACTTTTCCTTGTTTTTTGCTTGAAGCTGTTTGTTTTGAAGAAATACATGCTCATATAATAACTACTTCAAAAATGCTCACAGCGACAAGTATCAAAACAGAGCAGGCAGTTCAAATTGGAAAAAAAAAACAATGGC